TAACAATAACATACACTATATTACCAAAAGTATTGGGACACCCCTCCAAATCATTGGACTCCGGTGTTCCAATCACCACCATGGCCACATGTGTATAAAATCAAGCAGCTAGGCATACACACTGCTTCTGCTAACATTTGTGAAAGAATGGGTCGCTCTCAGGAGATCAAAGAATTCAAGTGTGGTACTGTGATAGGTTGCCACCTGTGCAATAAGTCCATCCGTGAAATTTCCTTGCCAATAAATATTCCACGGTCAACTGTTACTGGTATTATAACAAAGTGGAAGCAACTGGGAACAACAGCAACTCAGCCACGAAGTGGTAGGCCACATAAAATTACAGAGTGGGGTCAGCGCATGCTGAAGCGCACAGTGCACAGAAGTCGCCAACTGTCTGCAGAGTCAATAGCCAAAGGACTCCAAACTTCATGTGACTTTCAGATTAGCACAACAATGCGAAGAGAGCTTCATGGAACGGGTTTCCATGGCTGAGCAGCTTTACAGCACCAAGTGTAATGCAAAGTTTCGGATGCAGTGATGTAAAGCACGCCACCACCGGATTCTAGAGCAGTGGAGACGTGTTCTCTGAAGTGACAAATCATGCTTCTCTGTCTGGCAATCCAATGGACATGTCTTGGTTTGGCAGTTGCCAGGAGAATGGTACTTGCCTGACTGCATCATGACAAGTGTAAAGTTTGGTGGAAGTGGGTTTTGGTGTGTGGTGTTGTTTTTCAGGGGTTGGGCTTGGCCCCTTACTTCCAGTGAAGGAAACTCTTGAGGTGTCAGCATACCAAGACGTTTTGGACAATTTTATGCTCCCAAATCTGTGGGAACACTGTGGGGACAGCCCCTTCCTGTTCCAACATGACTGTGCACCAGTGTACAAAGCAAGGTGCATGAAGACATGGATGAGTGAGTTTGGGGTGGAGGAACTTGACTGGCCTGTACAGAGTCCTGATCTCAACCCAACAGAACACCTTTGGGATGAATTAGAGCAGAGACTGTGAGCCAGGCCTTCTCGTCCAACATCAGTGCCCGACCTCACAAATGCGCTTCTCAAAGAATGGTCAAACATTCCCATAGACACACTTCTAAACCTTGTGGACAGCCTTCCCAGAAGAGTTGAAACTGTTATAGCTGCAAAGGGTGGGCCAGCTCAATATTGAACCCTACGGACTAAGAATAGGATGCCATTAAAGTTCATGTGCGTGTAAAGGTAGGCATCCCAATATTTTTGCAATATAGTGTATCATCAAAAGTCAGATTCAGAACAGTACCCCACACCACAAAATCAGAATTTAACTTATACCAATCTTACTTAGGTAAACAAAAAATCATTTGATTGTATTTTTGCAATATGGAAAATAATCAATATACCTGAAACACAAGACTGTAGTTGGACTGTAAAAACATGGGAGGATTATCATTCACATCTAGTAAGTAGACCTGAACTGTCACCTCATTGTAGAGTGCTTGGACACCATTGTCAGTTGCACGAACCACAAGAGAATATTTGGCTTTCTGTTAAAAAGGAAAGACATGTCAATATAGATATGTGAAAAATGCTGTCCCAAATTTTCAAACAGTTCTAGTCATTGTTCTGTTGTCTTCAAATCCAAGACATCTAGACTGAAGATGCCCCACAAAAACCTTCAGGCTGCTTTTCCCTGGAACAGTAAGCTTTATTGTGGTAGAACGTGCTATGTACATGTAGCACTACATGCTGAGAATAAATTAGGCAGAACAAAAGATTCTTCAAAGACAAAATGTTGCATAACATTGCAATCCATTTTCTAAAAATAATGCTCAAAACAGACACAGGCATGTTTCATGAAGGATTAAAAAGATGATGTGGTTGGAAGTTAATGAAAGAGGATCCGGACCAAGCTTGAGGAGACCTCACCTGCTCTCGGTCCAGTCGACTCAGAACTCTGAGATCTCCCCTCTCAGGATGTATTGAGAAGTGACCATGGGGATCTCCTTTCACAATTTTTAAAGTGACTTTATTGTTCTTTGGTCCATCTAAGTCAACAGCTGAGATCTACAGAGGTAAAACACAGAAGGATCAAATGTTAGTAAGATTATGTACTGATGCTACAAAGCTTGTGAAAAATTGAGAGCTACATAGTAGAGATCATGGAAACTCAGCAACACAGCACACAGCACAGGAACTTTTGAAGTCATCTGTGCAATGAAATGACAGTCATCTGTGCAATGTTCTAGTACATCTGACAGACTGAATTAGCTAGGTTATTTTAGATATGATATGCTGCTAATGGTGTCCTATAAGGCCTATGTGCAATATCTAATATGGACAGATATGTTATTTTCTTAATGTGTCCATGCTGTCCTTGTATGACTACTGCTATGCCCTGCACAATCCAGCAGTTTCCCATCAGCTGAATGTCTGGATTGATTGCATTTGATGATCTAAGAGGATAGCCAAATATATTACAGAGCATCCTACCTGGGGTCAGATCTACCATGTACAATATGGCCATCTTAAGAGTAAACTGATGTTTTTTCTTTACAACCATCTTTACATATAGACATACACAAAGTAAAGAAATATAGAAAGTGGGGAGCCAATTATTGTGAAATAAAGGTCATGTTTTACTGGTCATATTCTATGATTTTGTTTTTTTTTTCCTGTTTCTGGTTCCTCACCATCACAACCAGATCTCCCACCACTGCATTCTCTGGGATTTCTGCCTGGTATTCCTCCTGGCTGAAGACAGGCTTGTGGTCATTGATATCAGTGATATTTATCACAACAACTGTCACATCACTTAGAGGAGGAGAGCTCTCTCTAGTTCCTTCTATTGAGAGGTAGTATTGACGTTGAGATTCAAAGTCCAACTTTCCATTCAAGTACAATGTGCCTTAAAAGAAGACAGAACTATATATAGTTTATTCATATTAAATTGTATTTGAAATATAAACAACTTAAAAATGATATTTCAAGGTGCAAAAGAACATGTTTGAGTGGATGATGCTTATAAGACAGTTTCTCATCTACGAAGCAGTCATCTATCAGATGGTCTTGAGCCCTTCATCTGGACTCTTTTACAGGGCCCTAGTCTTCTGATTACCAGTTAAATGTAATAGTGTGACTTTATGGTGTGCTTCTTCAGATCCTCATTTTTCCTCTTCTGAAAACAGCAAAGCACATATAATTTTCTAAAATGAAAGCTGGTTAAAATCTCCTTTCCAGTTCTCATCATATCTGGACAGATGGACAAACCATACAGGTTATAAATAAAAATATGCTTCAAACCTGTTCAAATGAAGCTTCAAAAGCTCTCATGTGTGGGTACTTGGATTTGGAAGATTGCTAATTACAACATATAAGATGTGCTTATAGGCCAATTTATTCAAAAGTAGATATTCCAGTTTTAGGTGGGCTGTTGTGGATTTCATTATTCACCAGCTTCCCATATCCCTGAGACTCAATTGCAGTAGTTAGTGTTTTTACTAGTGCAAGGTCAAAATGATGATCTGCTGGCCTTCACATGTCCTTCAAATTCCTTATTTTACACTAGAGAAATTCTATGGGGGAGATGAGATGGAATTTAGGACTGGTGCCCATTTTTGTACCATAAATGATATTGTTGTATTTTTTTCTATTGATGAAAATAATAAAAAATTTATGAAATAGAATTTGGGACTGGTAGTTCTGCTGGGGGTAACTCCTCACATGTAATATTAGAAGCATGTAATAAATTTGCTGTCACATATCCAATACTAACTTATCAGTTTTGGGTAGAGTTGACCTTACGGAATATTTTTGTCTTGTGGTTACATCTTTTTTAATGTTTCACTTCCCTGTAATTTATTTTCTTTTAATATAAAGGTACCATACCTGTATCTGTCAGACGGAATATGCCATTTTCATTCCCATTCAAGATTTCATACTTAATTTTCATATTACTCTCAATGTCCTGTGTCAGTTTTGCTAGATTTAGAAGTTCTGAACCAAGTGGTTGGTCTTCTGGCACCTGTATGATATTTTCTGGGTTTCCAAACACAGAACGGTAGTAACTGAGAGATACCACAGACACTGTAATGGGCGTACATGTGGAAAGTGGATGGGGAAAACCGCGATCTGTGGCACAGACGGTTAATTCAATCACTTCATCTTCCATTTCTTCCAGAGGTTTCTCTAGTCGAGCCACACCAGTGGTTTCTTCAATTGAGAATAGTCCATTGGCGGAGTTTAAGAGGGAATACAGAACTTCAGAATTTAAACCTAAACAGAAAGTTGAACAACTGAATAAATAACAAATAATCTAAAATGGACTGTAAACAATTTTACTATTTCATTTTGGCAAGAGTGTCCAGTACTAATCCTCAGTAGTACTTGCCCCAATTAAACAATTTTTTGCAAGTAAAAGAAATGACAAAAAATAGCTAGCAGGCAGGCTTTTTATATCAGAGGAGACTTACTATGTGATAACTATCCAAACTCAAAAGTGATTGTTAAAAAAAAAGAAACAAAATGGAACTACTTATTGGATACTATATTAGAAGCTAGGCAGAATTGGGCTTGGTGAGTGCAGGGACAGTCTGGGAAAGGCTGGATTAAGAATAATTTTTCATAGTTTTATTTATGTTTTATGGTGACACCACTACTGTGATGATGCAGCTTTTGGTACATAAGTTTTATTTAGGCATTTTTCTATTGAGGATGATTAGGGGACCACACAATTATCGTTTATAATGAAATTAGTGTGAGTTTGATGTGTATAAAGATACTATTTGTCATATATTTTTATGAAGATGCAGCTACTCGTGATGGCGCTATTATATGTAAATTTTAAGGGGATATAAAATGATTTTGTTTATTATTTTAGGATGTTATAGGAATATCCTTTTTTAAAAAGCAGAAGAATCCTTTTATATCGTATTTTAGTTTGAATTCTGAGTGTATCTTTTTACATATTATATGATAAAGCCATTGTTGTGCTTTGTTCCCTCTATTAGAGTAACATGGTAGAATAGGATAAAGTATAGACTGCAGTTATGTGTTATGATACATGCTGAAGGTATATCATTGCAAAGTATTCATGGATAAATCATGGAAATATATGGATAAAGATTGTTGTTTGGTTGATCAAAGGCCAGGGACTGACAATTCATGGGGCCCCCGGGCAATAGGGGATCATGGGGCCCCTGTGTCCTTGCCCACACTCAAAGCACACCCAAAAAAGCATATAAAAGGTATCAGGGGCATTTCATGGGGCCCCCTACTGACCCCGGGCCCTCCGGCATTGGTTCTGTATTACCTGTGAAGAGAGTGTGCTCGAATGGTCAGTCCGCCCCTGTCAAAGGCAAATATATGAAGGTTGGACAATTTTATGAAATGTACTAAATGCACCTTGATGGATTTAATTTTGAAGTTTTTTGTATTAAGATATGCACATCACTGTTTTTGTTTTATATATTTTGGTAGGATACCAAATCCAGTACGATTTTCTGATTTTGAAAGCAACAGGGTACACTTAGTGCCTATTTGGCTTTGGAATTCTTTTTTTTTTCTTTTGCATTTACCTTGGTTTACATACAGCAGCAGCACTCTAATCTGATTAATTTTAGTTTGGAAAAGAAGGCTTTATTTTCAGGTAGTTTTAGCAGCTTCCTCATCAAGCGGTAATAAATCCACTTTGAAAATTGTCTAGTAGTTTGTTCTTCATTATGCAAAATTGTCACTGTCACTGGCCAATTTCAATCAAACGTTCAATTAGAATTAAAAGTCCACAGGTGATAGAGATGTTGTCATTTAAATAACAAGGTTAGGCCCATACTTACAAGAGACAACGGGCACAGGATGGGGCTTTGCTAAAATAATTAAAATTGGCCAACAGTTTTAATCAGAGAGGTCTAACTGATATATCCTAACTTTTAATTTATGTATGGGGATAGAGGTCTGCAGTGAACGTGAGTATTATATTCTAAGGTGATTTAGGTACACACTGTTCTTGCACTTTTTTTTAAAACAGTGCTACAAACAAAAGGCTGCTCCAAGAGCAGATGGTCAGTAACAAGTGAATGCTGCTTCAATTGCTCCAATGTTTTTTAATAGGAAGCCCTACAGCAAAAAATAAGTTTGCTATAGGCAAAATAGCAACTAAAATAACTGCTCAAATAACCCAGAAAGTATTATTATTATACAGGATTTATATAGCGCCAACAGTTTGCTCAGCACTTTACAATATTACTGGAGACAATACAGCAACAATACAGTTCAATACAAGAGGGTAAGGGGGCCCTGCTCCTTGGAGCTTACAATCTAAGAGTAAAAATAAAACACAAAAGAGCCCCCAAAATTAGGAATAACACAACAAAAAGCTACATTGGGAGAATTAAAGTAAAGATTCCTAGCAACCCATAATGCAGTTTGTCGGCTTTCCCTACAAGAGATTTCTATGCACTTTGGCTGCACTGAGTCCCCATTTTTTAGTGAGGAGTTTGGCTTATTAAAAATGCTTGAGGTGATTGTAGCCGTATTAGTGGTCTTAGTTTTTAGGTATTAGTTTGGCTTATTAAAAAAAAAACCCTTATTGGTCATTTTAAGACTGCTGACAAGGCATAATATTTAGAGGTCAAATTAATGCATAATGGTTTTTTTAAAAAAATTGGGTGAATCTACACAAAAATTCAATGTGATCTCAAGGCACAATCCCAGGGTAGCAGCAAACCCGAACTTCATCTCTAGTCTTAACCATCCCCTACCCTATCCAAAAAAAACCCAAACTTTGGATTTGCTTACAATGTAAACTAGTTCAGACATATCACTTGTTGCAAATATGTAACTATTCTTATAGAATAAATGAATAATCTTTCAAGATGGCTGCCTTTGTAGCTAGGGAAGGAATCATTTTAAAGAAACATTTTTTGCTCAGCTCCTTTCATGAAAGGTAAAGACTGTATGATCACGATGATGAATAATGAAAAGCTATCCAGTATCCTCAACGACTCCCACCCAAAACTTCCTAAAATATGGGACCCACTATGCCTTGCCTTCACTGAATATGTACTTTCTGTCTTACCTTTAGTTCACCTTCCTGAGTCTGTGGGGCATGTACTCCCTATCCTCTCTTGCTACCTAGCCCCTTTCATTTCCAACTCCCCCTTTTTTCTCTTTCTCCCCTCTCTCGCTTCCTCTTTCTTCCCTCTTCTTTGAGAGTCTATTACTTCTTAAGGCTCTCTGACTGCTGAATATGCCCTATGATTCTAGATGTCAGAGTCCCAGTATGCTGTACTGGTTATGTTCGACTGTGTTCTTCTTTAAAAAAACAACAAAAAACTTTTGTACAATCTTGTATCCCCCTGCATGGGTGATTCTGCTGTTATATTCACTTCTATGAAAACGAATGAGAATGAAAAATGAGAGATTTTTTGCTCTACCTTCATCAGGATCTCTAGCAATGACCACCGCCACAGGGGTCTTCAAAGTTGTGTTGTCATACACAGTTACGGAGTAGTGATTCATGGAGAACACTGGTCCATTATCATTGATATCCTTAAGAGACAGGACAATATCTGATTGGCATGAAAGTCCCCCTCCATCAGTGGCTTTTGCAACCAAGTGATAGGATGCCTTCTGTTCCCTGTCCAAAGGTGCCAGTGTTGTTAACTCTCCTGTGTATAGAGACAATCAATGACTGTTAGAAAAACAGTAAAAAAAATCTAATTTCTGACATTTATAACTTATAAATGCAGATACAAAAGGTAAATCTAAACCACAGTCAGATATAAAAACACCAATTGATGCATTTGGTATAAAAAGTCATTACATTTATTTTTAATTGTAGCTAATGCATGTACCTGAATTTGACTTGGTATCAACTTCTTGTAATCCTCTGTACAGCAGCAGACTGAGCAGTGATGGGCAGCACTAGGTCAATCATGAGTGCCACATACACCAAAGAACATGTTGCTGGGACAGGAGAGCAGAGAGATGACCTCGTCAGCCTGCTGCTGCTTCTTCACTGGCCAATTACATGTTGGGAGCAGGGGTGCTCTAGCTATGTTTCTTAAAAGCAAGCAGAAAATAGTCAGGTGACCAGCCTGACTGTACATTCTGGTAGGGCTGTGTAAATCTTGTGGCTGGATGTACTGAAATACAATCATTTCACAGGTAATACAGAACCATTAAAAAAATAAAATAACAGCACTAATAATGAACATAAAAGTCAATAAAAATCAAATACTTATGTTATAGTGAATTTTCATATATTGAATTTCATACAGTGAAATAAAAGTGAAAGAAACAAATAAAATGAAAAATGTAAGTGTCCATGTGAAACATAAATTACAAATTCATATTGCAATTAGAGTCCCTTCTTCTCCAAAAGTAAGTATACATAAAGTGCCAATTGCAATCTATGTTGCAATGATGCACCACAATGTGAGAAAACTCCACTACCCCCACATATACGTAGATGTAAGGGCCTCTTACAAGACCAGGTGAACCATAAAGTTATAGATGGTCATAAAGCGCTCAGCTCGAAGATGTGCAACCACAGCCTCACCATAGCAGGCCAGTAGGCGTAATAGCCGATACTCCAGAATAGATGAACCAGTAGAGGATGAAAGTAATAGCACTCTGTGCCCGAATAGAGTTCCACCGCTGTGGATCAATGGCCATGATCTAAATAAATGAAAAATGAAGAGAACCCACTCATAGCAAAGTATCCCCAAAAAAAGCTCTTTATTCCTTAAAATCAAAGTTCACATCCAAAAAAATAAGATGCAAAATAAAAAGCACTGTGCATACATAAACAATGGTGTGGCAAGCTGATGGCTCCAGCATGGGAAGATGCTCAGCGCTCACTTTATGTATACTTACTTTTGGAGAAGAAGGGACTCTGATTGCAATATGAATTTGTAATTTATGTTTCACATGGACACTTTAATTTTTCATTTTATTATTTATTTGTTTCTTTCACTTTTATTTCACTGAAAAGCTCTATATGAAAATTCACTATAACATAAGTATTTGATTTTTATTGACTTTTATGTTCATTATTAGCGCTGTTGTTTTGTTTTTCGTGTTTTTTGACCTGGTATGACAGTGACTAACAGCTGCTTTGTTTTTCTCTTTTTGATCTTAGCAGAGATGTATTTTTTATTTATTTAATACAGAACCATTATATGTACAGTATCTTAACTGCTAATTTAGATGCGGAGGTCATTAAATGCTATTAAGGAAAAAAAGACAGGCAAATGGATAGTCTGCTCTCACAAAAATCAGCGTAATGATTCATTTCTGAACAAGGTATTATAGGGGAGTAGTAGTAGAGAAAGCAATGAAAATGTGATGCAGGTTGTAAACACTTCCCAGTTCACTCTCTAACAGCAACATCCACAGCACAATAAAAAAAGAAGACAAGAAAAAAAACTGTCAGAGGTTCCCTGCTCCAGGCTATTTACAGCTGAACTTCAAAGGCGCATCTAAAAAAACCCACAAATGAATGAAGTTCTGTAATCAGTAATAGATCATTAAATGTGTTTGTTAAATACAAGCAGTGTAAGTATGGTAGCTGTTTTTGACTTGATATCAGCCTTTTTCATCCCTGTACATCAGAGGTCAGACTGGGAGAGGGAAAGACAACAGTCAGTTGTTCATCAGTGATCATATGCTAACAGGAAAGATACTCCTGTATCGCCGGCACTTTATTAGGTGCACCTTCCTAGTACCGGGTTGGACCCCCTTTTGCCTGCAGAACTTCCTTAATTCTTTGTGGCATAGATTCAACAAGGTGTCAAAAATCAGAGATTTTGGTCCATATTGACATGAATTACTGTTGCCTTTCTATCATCTCGAACCAGTCTGCCCATTCTCCTCTGACCTCTGACATCAAAAAGACAACTGCCACTTACTGGATATTTTCTCTTTTTTGGACCATTCTCTGTAAACCCTAGAGATGGTTGTGTGTGAAAATCCCAGTAGATCAGCAGTTTTTGAAATACTCAGACCAGCCCGTCTGGCACCAACAACCATGCCAAGTTCAAAGTCACTTAAATCCCCTTTCTTCCCCGCTCTGATGCTCGGTGTAAACTTCAGCTAGTCATCTTCTCCACGTCTACATGCCTAAATGCATTGAGTTGCTGCCACGTGATTGACTGATTAGCAGTTTGTGTTACCAAGCAATTGAACAGGTGTACCTAATAAAGTGGCCGGTGAGTGTGTTTTACTGTCCAGTCACAGGCTGGTG